GTGGGGTCTGAAATAGACGTCGGCAGACCTCTGGAAAACTTCCTGGCGGCCCGGTGGGGTCCGAAAACGCCCTTCCATGCCAAAACTTTTCCAGCCGCCGGGAGGTGGGGTCCGAGCCTCAGTCTGCAGGCAAGAAACTTAGAAACAATTTCTTTTTCTTTTTAAGAAAAAGGGTGACGGCCTTTCGATATCGTCTTCAAGAGTTGCTTACTCATCTGAGTTGATCGGGATTCAAACTAAGGTCTGTATGTTAACAGCTCATGGGTGGATCAACTGAGCTAGGCCCAAGGCTGAGTTTTATTGATTATTCCAAGCCCGTCCATCTGATGGGTTCTCCACCCAGTGCCACCGGCAGTGTGTCCTCCACCACCCCTTCCGCAGGTCCTTCTCTACATGCCCCAGAATCCTCTGCTTGCTTAAAAAAAAAAAAAGAAAAAAAAAAGAAAAAAAAAAAGAATCCTCTGCTTGCTTTCGAAACCCTAATTTGCCTGCAAGGTACACCCCCAACTTATGTATGGATGCAACGCTCCCCTTTTCCAATTTCTTTCACCTTTAAAACGGCAGAACACAGCCCCAGCCATGGAAGATTTCTTCCTCACCTACTCCTAAAACTTTGGAGGCTCGCGGCTACCAGAGCAGAATGGCTGGCGGTGCCAGCCAAAATAGAAAGAAGTGCACCGCTGGCTGTTCGGCATAGCTTGGCATGCAGTGCGGCGCCACCAGGCCCAGGTGTAATGGTGGTTTGAACTACAGGGATGGACTAACCAGCATTCACTAAATCCAGTCAAGAGTCAGAACAACCCACCCCTTTTCCCATCTCCAAAAAGGGGATGGATTGCTCCAGCTGACAATTGGTTGGAACAGTTCAGTGGGAGGGAGGAACTTGTTTGTAGCAGCAGTTATCTGGCGCCCATTTCAAGGCGAAGAAGTTCTCCTTCCTTTTCCAAAACTCCTGCTCAGTCAATCCTCTGGATTCCAGAGTAATCAATGCTGGCAGGAGTCTCCCGCAAACCTTTTTCTGACGTGCTCCAAAGTTTTCTGTATATGGGACGCTGGACCCGTTTTCCAGCAGGTGCTGCTCCCCACCAATAGATGGAGCCCCTCCTCAGGTGAAAAAAAAAAAGAAGAAAAAAAAAAAGGAACAGCTCAGTGGTTCAACCCACCCTTTCTCTGACGATCAATCGGTCTGATTCACCAATCAGTATGGGCTATGGGGTCGGCTGATGTGACTAGCCAAAGCCAAGTGCCAGGCTGGTAGCTAAATGGTACGCAGTCCTACGCCCCATAATGCATGCCTATACAATCACCGATCAACAGGTCAAGAGTTCAAATCCTGCTAGGGGTTACACCTATCATTTCGGAATTGTCCTTCGGAACATCTAAAAAACTGGGACTGATACAAAGAAAATTAGCACGATGGCCCTGCCCTGTGCGCAAATTGAGAAACGCTCCCAAATTCAATAAACAAGAAAAGCAGGAAAATGGGGAACCGGTGAAAGAAGGAAATGATGGCAAGAACGGGAAGTGAAGAAGATCAACCTTCATCAAAGAATCCATTCTTCCTATTCTTTTCAATGGTGTCATAAATTAATCATTACCACGGCCTAGTTCAGTTGGTAGAGTATGTGAGCGGCACTCAGGAGGTCATAGGTTCGAGTCCCCATGTCATCCGTCCGATTCCCCATGGCCCCTGGGCCGCACTTCGGGTTCACCAGCTGAGATAGTTGGCTTGCCAAACCTGGCCGATCTTGGTAGGAGCCCCTCCCTTCCATCCTTCACCAGGGGTTAGGCTGACACAGGGAAGGCTAGGGGTAGCACGGAAAACTTATGGACCGACCAATCCCTGCTGCTAGGTAGTGTGCGGTACACTGAGAGAAGAGTACAGCTTTTTCTTTTTTCTTTTTTTTTCTTTTTTTAGTTGTAAAATAAAAACAAAGAAAAAGTCATTTCCGACTCACCTAGCTCCGTTGGTACACCCACAAACTGTTGAAATGCAGAGCTGGGTTCGAACTCCGATGGAATCAGACGAGTAAAATTAACTCTGAATTCACAAACAAAGAAAAAAGTCATCGACTACATTCACATTCAAGAACAAGCCCCATCTGATCCCACTGGGAGACCAAAAATAAACTTTTAAGTTTGAAGTTTTAACACAGACAAACATTATCAGCACACGAAGTTGACATCACCAGAAAATAGACAAAGGAATTGCTGCTCATGCCCAGAAGGACGCATGCCGTAAGATGAAGATACGATCCCCCATCGGTGAGGGAACGGGAAGGGAACCGGGAGGGAGGAGTGGTGGCCCTACATCCAATGTTTTTTTCAACATGCACACAAGCGAATGTCAGGTTTTGATGGACACCTTTTTCTTCTTTGCACTGCTTGGCATTTTCCGTGAGGAAGCAGCAGGTTGTTGCGGTTGGGTTGAGGAGGAATGAACGCCCCGACACGTGTCGCAAGGGTTGAGCCCCATCTGACAGGCCTTACGGTCATACGC